CTCTCTGCCTCTGTTTGTCTCTCTCTGTCTGCCTCTCTGTGCCTCTCACCTCCACACCCCACTCTCTCTGTTTGTGTCTTTTCTGCCCAGTTCTGTGGTTGAGATGGAGCTTAGGAACCTGCATCTTGTAATGATGAAGGTCTTGGACCAGAAGTGGGGAGATCCAGATTCAAGTCCATCACTGGCCAGCAAAGCTGAATGGCTGATTTTAGGCCAGTCATTCAACTGGTCCCTTAATGGCCATTCAAAGTTACAACAGACCTTCTCCAGTCTACATATGATCTAGATTCAAAGTTATGATCACCATTCCCTCACTGAATCACATGATTGCATTTGGGGTGCCCGCATGTAAAACTTTTTGAAGCATCCTGTGGTCACAACTTACAATGGTGGTTTTGGGTTTTTTTTGCCATGAAATATTTTTGCTTCCAGTTTTCAGCAAAAAAAATCCACTTTTGGTAGACAACGAATTTGCTTAAGGACCATGACATTGCTTTTATGACCATTGTGTTCACTTAACAACCATTGCCGAAAAGGTCATAAAATCAGGTGCAGTCATGTGATGGTTTAATGATGACATAACTTACAGCCATAATCCAGACTCGATTAGGGTCATAAACCAAGGGTTACCTGTAACAACTACATACCTAGAATACTGCATCCAGTTTTGGTCACCACACTATAAAAAAGATGTTGAGACTCTAGAAAAAGTGCAGAGAAGAGCAACCAGGATGATTAGGGGACTGGAGACTAAAACATATGAAGAACGGTTGCAGGAACTGGGCCTGGCTAGTCTAGTGAAGAGAAGGACCAGGGGAGACAGGATAGCCGTCTTCCAATATTTGAGAGGCTGCCACAGGGAGGAAGGGGTCAAACTATTTTCTAAAGCGCCTGTAGGCCAGACAAGGAATAATGGATGGAAACTGAACAAGGAGAGATTTAACCTGGAAATAAGGAGAAACTTTCTGACAGGGAGAACAATCAACCCATGGAACAGAAGTTGCCCTCGGAAGTTGTGGGAGCTTCATCACTTGAGAGCTTCAAGAAGAGATTGGACTGCCATTGGTCAGAAATGGTGTAGGGTTTCCCGCTTGGGCAGGGGGTTGGGCTAGATGACCTATAAAGTCCCTTCCAACTCTGATTATCTGTTATCTGTTCTGCCATGCCCTCTGATCTGGGGGAGGGGCACCCAGCCAGGGAGGACATGGCCCCCAGTCCCCCTTCCTTTACACATTAGCAAAAATCAAAAGGCACCCTTACAAATCTGAAAAGCTTTCCCTCCTCTGAATTCAAGGAGATGGTTTTCATCCTTTTTGCTCCAGGCTCAGTGTTCTTGTGGATCAATCTGTCTGGAAGTGAGGGGACTCAGGAAGAAGTAACCCCCCCCCCATCCTCCAAAAAAGATGAGAGTGGCACGCCTCATTGGCCTCCCACCCCAAAGCAGCTAAACTCAGCAGGAAATGATGGCAAACGTAATCGTAATCGTAATGGCCCCGCTGATTGAGAAAGAGCACAGCGTTATTCCAAGAAAATACCGCCAACAAAGAAAAGCCGTATGTTCTCAAAATCTTTTTGCAAAGGTTGATGAAGCTAGAAGCCCAAGAAGCTGTGACTTCAACATCACCACCAGCCCGACTGATGGGCACTGGCGTCATTTCTGCTGCCGTGGATGTGATAGACAACAACAGCCCATCCTGGCTGAAATTTGTAATGTGGCTCGATTCCTAATTGGACAGATTAGCAAACTTCTGTTCTTCATGTCTCTTTCCAAAGGCCATGGACAGTCCAGTGTCTGGACATCGCTCCTTTGACGTCTGCTTGATGACAGAAATGTCTCCTGGGTAGTTTGTCTGCAGCAAAGTAGTTTTTCAAGACGTGGCAATTTTCTTCCTACCCTAAACTAATTTTTATTTGTGTCTTGCACAACTCAGACATCACTCTCTTTGTCTCCTTTTTTTTTTTTGCACTGTGATCTGAAATGAATGCATTCTCTTAAAATCATCTGAAGTAAGGGAAGAAAAAATCCTATCTCTCAAAAGTTCCCAACTCCCATCATCGGTGGGTAAATGTATATTTTTATGCTCCGATTCCATCAGCATGGGGAAGCGTACATTTTTGCATTACATACATGCAACATTTTACACTTCAGGGATAAGCAGCATAATGCAAAAGGCAGAATGGAGACTGTCAGCTGAACAAATTACAAGCATGAGATAAGGAGAAGAAACGGAAATGGGGCTTTGTCTAGAAATCTATCAGCTTGTGTTTTCTTTTTCTGAAAGCAAAACATTATCATTAAATCGTTATCTGCTTTGTATTGGCCACTGACTGGAAAAAAAAAAGAATTAAAAACTCAGTGGCTTGCTCTCAAAATTAGACCCATGGAAATCAACAGAAATGAGGTTAATCCTTCAACTGAAGACTTGTGCAATTGCA